CTAATTCAGAAACTATGAATTGCATTTTGTAAAGATTCAGCCTACCTCGTCTAAAACTCGCATGCAAATTTATTTTAACTTGCTTTGATGGGACCCCGACGGGTCTTTAATAAAAATTATCTATCTATCTATCTATCTAATATTACGAACGACGACAGCTACTCAGCTAAAACAGACACCTTCGTTGAACCACCTGATCAAGGCGCCAACACAAGTGAGCCCGTAGCGTCCAGTGATCTGACTGAAACAAGGCATGTAAATGGAACCAATCAGGTAACGGAAGAGCCTAGAGAACACGACGTCCGCGATAGCGGAGTAATGCTCACAGCAGTAACAACTGCAACAGGAAATTCGGCTGGTGCTAAACTGAGGTGCTTGTACACGAATGCCCAAAGCCTCATATCGAAACTAGACGAACTAAAACTTTGCCTTGTTGAGCTGTCTCCAGATGTTTTAGCAGTAACTGAGACCTGGCTGTCCGCGAATATTAGCGATAACGAAGTAGCCTTGCCTGGATACCAAATTTATCGACGGGACAGGGAACATCGTCAGAGTGGTGGTATCGTTGTGTATGTGAATGACGGTCTGGCAGTGTCGGATAACACCACCAAGTTTGCGTGCAGTACGGAAGCTATCTGGTTGACCAGCAAGGCTACCGGTTCCCCGTGTCTCGATGTCCTTACTGTCTACCGACCACCTAGGACAGACCGAATCGCCAACGCTCAACTATTGGAGCAGTTGGATAAATTTTCCAGTCGACCTAACACCATGATCATGGGCGACTTCAACGCACCAGGAACAAACTGGAATACCCTCCAAGCGTCAGGTCCAAAATCGGCATTCGATTACCGCCTGTTGAGCAAGACATTAAATGCGTGCCTCACACAACATGTAATGTTCCCAACGAGAACACGTGAAGGACAAAGGGCAAACTGCCTGGATCTGGTCTTTACGAAAACACCAGACAGCATAGACGAGATCGCCTCCATGCCGCCTCTTGGCCGAAGTGACCACGTAGTGCTTATGTGGGATTATTCGTTATTCTCCATTTCACATACTCCAGACCACAAAAGGCGTAATGTTTGGCGGGGCGACTTCAATCATATGAGGGCAGACTTATACGGTCTTGACTGGGGCTCTTTGTTTACGGGAAGTGCCAACGATGACTGGGAGCTGTTCAAGAATGTCCGTCTGTTGCTCATCAACAACCACTGCCCGCTGACTAGTGTAAGACTGAACAAACGCCCTGGGTGGCTAAATTGCAACCTTAAGAAAGAAATCAACAGGAAGCACAAATTGTGGAGAAAATACTGCGTCACTAGACAAGCTGAATGCTTCAACACCTACAAGACACAGAGGAACAAACTGAGGAAGCTGATAATGCAGACGCGGCGAGAATTCGAGAAAAACTTGCTACAAAAAGCAACGCAGAACCCAAAATTGCTCTATAGCTACCTCCGACGAACTACAAGGAACAGGCATCAAATCCCTTTGATAAAGACTACCGATGGCGTTGAGATCGCCGATAGTAGGGATAAAGCTGCGTATTTTTCACGGTTTTTCCAATCAGTCTACACAAACGAGGCAAGGTTCCTTCCTCCCTCCACAGAAGAACTGCCGACTCCAAGCATCAGTGATATACTCTTCTCAGAAGGCATTGTCCGAAGAGAATTAGAGGCATGGAACGAATGGAAGTCGCCAGGATCAGACCAGATTCCACCCAAGCTTCTCAAGGAACTTGCCAGTGAGCTCTCTGTGCCTCTGTCGATGTTCTTTTAAACGTCATTTGACACTGGAATACTTCCTGTCGATTGGAAGCTGGCGCATATTACTCCGCTACACAAAGGAGGTAACAGGGCAGCGACGACAAATTGCCGGCCCATAAGCTTGACATGCATTCTCTGCAAAGTTATGGAAAGGATCATAAAGACTGAACTGATGCAATTCCTGGAAGTTCACGGCCTGCCATCGAAATGCCAACATGGGTTCCGAAAAGGAAGATCCTGCACGACAAACCTGCTGCAATCTCTGCAGAGCTGGACCCGAGCTCTCGACGACAGGCACGCGGTCCACATAGCCTTCATGGACTTCCAGAAGGCTTTCGACACTGTGCCACACCAAAGGCTGTTACATAAGCTGAAAAAAATAGGGATCGGTGGCAACTTCCTTACATGGATCGAAAACTTCCTTGTGGGTCGACAGCAGGTTGTGTGCGTCGGTCGGGGAAAATCAGATCCGGCTTTGGTCGATAGTGGTGTCCCCCAGGGTTCAGTACTGGGACCCATTTTGTTCCTTATCTACGTGGACGATGCCGCAAGAGATTTAGACTGTGAAGTAGCAATGTTTGCGGATGACATGAAGATATGGAGTGTAATTCGGGGTCCTGCCGATGAAGACAGACTGCAGATGAACCTGAATCGGTTGGAGGAGTGGTCAAACCGTTGGCTCCTGCGGTTCAACGTTGCCAAATGTAGCATACTTCGCCTAGGCAACACAACCAGATCCGCCAGCACAAGAGGCTACTTTCTGGGCGGTGCAGCCCTACAAGAGGTCGAAGCCCATAGGGACCTCGGTGTGCTGACGACGAGTTCCCTAAAACCATCCGCCTACTGTTCGAGGGTGGCAAAAACCGCAATGTCCGTACTGTACGCCATCAAGCGTGCGTTTATGGACTTTGACGAAGAAGCTTTCTCTAAGACATTCGGAACATTCGTCCGGCCGCATTTAGAGTACGGCATACAAGCTTGGAGGCCGTGGGCTGTTGTGGATCAAAACTGCCTCGAAAGAGTCCAGAGGAGAGCCACGAAGATGGTTAGGGGTCAAAGCTCCTTTCCTTATGCGACCCGCCTAGTAAATCTGGACCTCTTTCCTTTGAGTTACAGGCAACTTCGCGGAGATCTCTTGCTAGCCTTCCGCATTGTAAAGGGGTTGGATTGCAGTCTGGCCTTGGAGGACTTTTTTGAATTTGCTACCACGACCAACCTCCGAGGTCACCCGTTAAAACTGCGCACTCAGCAGGCACGGCTGGATGTGCGGAAGTTCTTCTTCTCGGTTCGCTTGGTCAAACCATGGAATGAGCTTCCCGCAGATGTTGTTTTTTCATCATCTATACAAAGTTTTAAGAAGAATCTGGACATGTTTATGTTCCGAAATGACCAAGAGCGATGAGAAGTCGAGCTCACCCCCTGTAACTCCTTCTCATTTTGTCCCACCATTATAGGCGTGTTCGAACTATTTCAGCCCAGAACATCTATCTGTACACCACACATTTTTTACGTTGCAAATAGGGTACTCAAAGGCTAACGCCTATTTCCCTCAATAAACTGGACTGAACTGAACTGAACTTATGTCGTTTGGTCTAAATATAGTTTATCTTAGCGGTTAAATGCATAATTGGAAGCAAGGAATTGTTTCTGCATCAATCCGTAATGAGGTTTAGCCAGGGCCACACCTAGCCATACTGTGGCCCAAGGGTAAGACTGGGTCCCGTGTTGGCAGGAATAGCATCTTTCCCTGCCAGCACCAGCCCCGCCTAGCCCCGCCTGGCCCCCTCAATAATGGCGGGGCTAGAGGGGGCTATGAGGGGGCTAGGCGGGGCTGTGGAGGGGGCTGTGGCGGGGCATGCACCGCGATAGCCCCGCCTGGCCCCGCCAGCGAAAAAAAATGCGCAGGGGACGCCACATCCCAGCCCACTTTTGGCACCACTTTAAAATATCGTCCCCATTGTCAAATATACGAATTAATAACACAAACAGATTGTAAACCGGTGGACAAATAAGAGTTTAAGCAATGAGGGACTCAAACAAAACCTCAATATATTGTGCTCATCCGCAGCTACATTCAGTGGGCGTAAACGGATGCTTTCTCCATGGTTTATAAGCCAATTTTGATAAATTAGCTCCTTTAAATTCCAAAGAAGGTACAATAAGTGGTGCTTTTGGAACATATCTTTCGATGCAAATACGCTTCAAAAGGTTTCAATCCAGAGGGGGCTCTGGCCCCGCCCAGCCCCCTCCAGCCCCGCCTATGAAGGAGCCATGTGCTGGCAGGCGGGGCTCTGGCCCCACCCAGCCCCTTCCAGCCCCGCCTATGAAGGGGCAATGTGCTGGCAGGGTTGCGATTTAGCAACGACACTGTGAAGAAAAACGATGAGGGCCTAGGGATCATTTCTTATACAAACAGTTTTTGCGAGTGATCGCAAAAGTGAAGAACAAAGGAAGCAATGCAGTATTTTATCAACAAGCGTGCTCGTATGTTTGACAGGCGGTCGGTGCAAAATCGCGAACCTTCCGTCAGTTGAGCAAGCCGATCTTAAATATTAAGATTCGTGGTAACCTCTGCGGAAAAGTAGACTTTTTTTCGTCATAATCAAACATTTAAAGTTACTCTGGTTGATAATTTTCTCTGAACAAATGTACGATCAGCAAACGTAATTCTTTAGTCTTGGAAAACCACACGACTATCTTTTACTGATGCAGGTGCGACAGACTGACTAAGGGTATTACCTAACAGAGTAAGTTCTTAACTCCCATGGCCTCAGTCAAACAAGGACATTTCCTGTAGTTTCTACCCACATTGAACCTCAAAAGATCGTCACGTCTGTCAACAGGTTAGCACCATCGTACAGGCTCCTAGTTATTTTCCGCTAATGCCGTTCGACTACAAAAGATATGTAGTTAATCTACTGCTAACGTCAGTAAACTGAGTGTTGAGAAAGCAATAGCCTCCTTGTGGCAGTGCGAGTTTGTCTAAGGTTCCGAATTATGGAGCTATAATTGTAGCTCACCAAGGCAAACGTAATGTCTAGGACAACTGGGAACTCGCGCCAACACACTGGTTTTGTATTGTTACGTTGCAAGCAGAAGTCCACTGCGAGTCTTTCAGCACTTCAAACACCGAGGTGTGCCTATCCTCCATCATCTATATTGACATAGACTTCGGAGTTTATCCCCGATACTTTGAAGGCAATCGACAGTTTTCATGAAAACTCAGTTTTTACGTGTTCACGTGTCATGGATACCAGTATAGCGGTGTAGTACATATGGATTCTCAATAATCTGGTGTTTTAACCATAGTGGACACCTTAGTTAAAAAGTATTAGTTCCATTCTAGAAGTAGCATTGTATTTAGAATGAAATTCCGTCCGCGGCCTTCATGCTCTTGGTCTTTTTTATCAGGTTCAGTGTGTGGACGAAAATAATAGGCAAGTTTAACCACCCGAATACCTCTTGAAGAGTTCCGACGACATCGTTCTCCCGGCTGTTTCATTAGGGATCATTTAGTTGATCCACTACCCATTTTGTGAAGAATGCTGATCAAAGGTTTAGCCCAGACACTTTCATGCCCAGTTTCGTTCAATATCCAAAAATGAGGCTAACGGTGCCATTGAAGCACTTTCTCAAAGCCCATTCTTTGGTCGAGGCCATGTGTCATCTGTTAAACCAGGACGATATCACCCCTTTGTTTCGATAAACACAAAGGGAATATATTAAGACAGTTCGCTCTTTTGAAGTAAAGTCGTGTATTGAAACTTTTACCATCTCTGTCAGCCCACACCGCACTTCCCCAGGATTTATTTCGTCTCATGCGAGTCATGATCGTCACGCCTGTGTGCTATGTTGAAAGCATGGAGGAACGAAAGTGTCGCACATACGCCGAAATAGTCTGCATTGGGATTTACAGACGTACTTGTTACAGTGCACAGTAATCCACTGTCGTTTTCCATAGTCTTGACTCAGTGAAGCGATGGGCTCAGTATCTTCCCTAGCCAAAATATAAAAATCTTCTTTACGAAGACGGTATGATAATTTGGGTGCATTTCGGGTAATATGGCCTCATGCTGTTGCCTAGATGATATTCGTTCGAACGCAGATGGAGGACCGCGCATTGAAATCAAACAACCGTCATACAAGTCAGTTCCACAACCGATGAAGATAATTTTGAAGAGCTGTCTGGGAAACTTGGGCCTCTACTGACTTGCAAAATCCTAGAACATTGACAAGCAGAAGCTTAACGTCGGTCAAGTTAGCGGCGACTGTTATTAACACACAGAATGAAGAGAAGGGTCTAGAGAAATGACGCCAGCGTCACACCACTTATCGTGTTTTACAGTGCGATTGAACTTTTCAGGCCCAGACGTGCAGTTTTACTTCCACAAGAAATGATTATATCCAGTTTGGAGGCTTTCCTCTGATGCCAAAAGGGCTCTGCATGCGCACAAACGGTGATTTGGGACGCTACCAAAGGCTTGGCGAAAAATCGAAGCCTTCTTCCACATCCTTACTCCAGACTCCACATAAAAGTCAGTAGATGTGGAAGCTGGGGCGTCGTCAACGAATCCAATATTTCGAGCTCCGTAACGTATCATCTTCATCTCTAAATTGTGCCGAATAAGGACTTCTACTATTCTGCAAAAACAGTTTGGACCTATTAGTTGATAATATCCTTCTCTGTCTATTTATAGATCAATATGAGGCGAAGTAATGGCGACGTTCGTCTTTTAGTTCGCTCAAATCTTACTTCACACGATTGGCCGCAAAGATGTTTACTGTGTACCAGAGTACTATGGGCTGGCAATCTTGTACTTTTAGAACAGTCTACTGTGGATTCGAAATCGAAATGATTAATCAAACCATAATAGTTATGCAACCTTATAGCACATCAGTGCACTCTGATAAGTTGAATGTAACATTACATAGCCCCTTTTAACTTGCTGTTCACAGGATACTCGGATACTTTTCAAATTTAATGAGTAATAACTATCTTTCGCAACAAGCGATTGGACCAAACAGGCACAAAGTATATTAGACTGAGGAACAGATGTAAGATAGCAACCGAAATTCACCCTTGAGTTATTTGAAAAAAACTATACAATACGTCTCCCACTTTATGTTCTTAACTCAGAGTTTTCATCTTGTGCTTCTATATATAACTTCGCGTGGCTCCCTTTTTCATGATCGCGTACTTTGTGTTAACAAGAAAGCGGCTGTCATGGCGCTGCTCATCTGCTATAGGTTAATGTACGCTTTTAACACCACACGGATCAGACAGAGTTATCCAAGTCGATTGTAGACACTTCGCGACGGGATCAATGTAGTCGAGTGTCAGTGAAGATGGCCGGCGTCACCTCTTTTACTGTCACTGACATCACTGTCGCTCTCCCCCGCCATCAGCATCCTCTCAGCCGTTCACCTACTTCCACGCCCTTCCTTGTGGTTGTCCGCAGCGTTGAACTCCCAGGTCATCTATCAGACAGTTCGGAACCACCACTCACACGGGATTGATCACTTACAACTGTGGCATAAGTCTTTCATGTACTGTGGGACATATATTACTTTTCAATTTGTGTATTAATTGTAGCATAGTTCTCATCTATTCCAATACCTTTTCCTTACAACGTCCTAATAGATGTATCTGATGCGGTGAATAACGATTCCGTTAAGTGGTTCCATAATCGTAAAACTGCCCAGAGCGCTTTATTTAACTGAGCGTGTCGTCTCAGCGTCTCCGTTCGTTACTATCTGGTTTGTTGGCAAACCATACATTTTAAGCAAACACTATCCGCCTTTACGTCAGTGTTACCCAGATTGACAAAGTCTGCCATCGGGCCAGTGGAATACCCTATACGATAATTAGTCTATCCTGAAACAATTCATTGTCAAATGGTCCGATTTTCAGCACCTTGTGCTTCTGGTAAATGCACACAATACAGACAGGAAACAGCCTCGGCCGACAAACTAACACATTTAGTGTTTATTTAAAACCCCCTTTCATATATTCAGGATTACTCTGCGAATTGCACTGTGTTTTTTATTTTTTTTAGTCTGGTACATATTAAAATCGGCGCAGTCATTGCATGGCTTCGATTATCTGTGGAAATATTGGTGCCCGTATAAGTGCTAAAAAACCAATAATAACTGTTACTGAATTAAATTAGTACAAATGCGAATAAAACTAAAGTTATCGAAAACCTCTGAGTCTGACGGTTTAACGTGCGAATTTGGCACCACACGGTCGAGTCCACGTTGTTATTAGACCTAAGTCCAGTCACCGGGGTAAAATACCTTTACAAAACTATGTCTTAATACCACTTTCCTTGAGTTACTTGCGAACCGCCAGGTACAACACCTGAACGTATCAATTTGCCGAGCGAGGTCGGGAGTGAGTGTGCGTGACTGTACATACAACGTCAGCACGAAATTTCGTCTGCGTGCAAAATGCTAGTCACCACACTTTTTTTCAAATCATGCGTGCTGACTTGGCTCATTCCGAAAACAGGCGCACAAGCAATCCGTGCCGAACTGGCCTTTGTTTCAGGCATTCATGCCCACCCTCAGACTTTCGGCAACAGAACCCGAGATCCGAGTGCGAAAATATACACGCCTCGACGGCGTCCACAGGTCGCAAAAGTACATCTCAATAGCGCACTGTCAAGCATTCCTTGTTCTACCAAAACGGTCAAGATAAGGGATACCGAAGCTGGCACCAGGCTGCGCACCCGACTGTAACTGATCTTTCAATGTCATTTAACACTTGCTCATGGGACAGTCAGACAGTATGCAATGCAGTTTCCTGTCTTTGCAAAAATACACTCGCATACCACCGAAGCTATCTTAAACTGCAGTGGAGCATGCTATCTTTTTGTATTTTTCTCGACTGTGCTCAGTACGGAGGCATACACGGGGGACAGGGTTATGACATCCCGCGGATATCATTTTCATCTTGTACTGACCGCGAAGCTAACAGGATTGGTCTACTTTGTCCTTTCAGGGTGCTGTTGCATGTTCGAGTCTATTTGCAGGACTTCTTCATACAGCACCTCTTACCTGATATGGAACAGTTTTTGTTTAGACTGCCGCGCCTGACACGGGAATGGGGGACTCCCCGCAGTACAGGTGGGCTCGCGCTAAATTCTAGGGGGTTCCTATGCCTGTGTCCTAATACCAACCCCAAATCCAACTTCAACACGTATCCTAACCCTAACGGCAGTCCTACCGTCGTGAATGACGGAGTCAACCATGTGCTCCACAGCAGGCTGATAGCAGGGACGGTGCCTAGTGCGTGATTTCTTCTATAATGATAGCAGACTTGCGCATAATCTACCACACTCTCTCCTCCTCCCCCACCTGGGCCCGCTATCAAAACAGTCAAGAAGACCGCTGGCGAAAGGGAGCGCAGGTGGCTGACACGGCCGGACCCGCACCTGGGCGTACCGCCACACTCCCTGGTCCACAACAAACAAGGGGTCTCCGTAGTACAGGTGGCCTCAATGGAACACCTATTCCCGTGTCCTAACCCTAACCCTAACCATACAGCTGCACACGGTCATTGCGTGGTTATATGGCAAGACAAACTGTTCAATCAGCGATCGACCTAGAGAGATAAAACCTGATAGGTAACATGAAACATGGGTCTAGTATGCGGGTGCGCATGACGAGGGGGGAGGGGGAGAGAAGTCATCTAAGCATGCAAGTTAGGATTACAGTGATAACTTACCAGGCGTTATTAAAAGTGCAACGCGCGGGCAGCATTCAGTCATACCGGGGAGGGGGAGGGGGGAGGTGGGGGCGAAATGAGAGGTCGTATATGGGAACAGGGTTTCGCCCATTATCGATCCTTACCATGGTAGCGCCAGGTTTATCACGTGGTCCAGCTGCTTACAGAGTCCTTGTTTCCGCCTCCGTATTGCAGCCGCCTCTGCAAAGCGCAAGAGACGCGGGGTCGTCGCCCGAATTAGGACCTTGAATTCGACCTTTCGGTCCACCGTATGGCCTGTGTCCACTAGGTGCTTTGTAATTGAGGTCCTGGATACCTTTTTTCCGCCTTAAGCAGCCACTTCAACATGTGCTCAGCTGACCGAACTGCCTTTGCGTGCGCCCAATGTACTTGCATCCGCAACTACATGTAAACTCATAAATACAGTTTGATGTGGCGTGCATAGGCAAAATTTCTTTAGTTGGTCTAACTGGAATCGCTTTTGTAGTGCTTATAAACAACAAGTTAGAGGCGGCATACGTCCTTTCAATTGTGCGCCGAGGTCGTCGTTTGATCACGTTTGACACATCACCCTTGAAGGGGTGGTAGATGGTCGCTGGCTTTTTTGGTACAGATATTTCGTCAGGAATTCCTTGTCTGGGATGGTGATATTTATTGATGAATTTCTCCGGCTACCCGTCCGCAGGAAAAACGTTCTTGAGGGAATTGAGTTCGTCATCAATCGTATCTGAGGAGCAGATTCTGGTGGCTCTGTTGAACAGGCACAAAACCAAGTTCCGTTTTCTCTGAATTGGGGCGAAACTGACGAAGTGCATGCATTGTCCTTTCCATGGGGGGCTTTTCGGTAGATGGATCCCTGAATAGAGCCATCTGCCCGCCTACGTACAAGAATATCCAGGGAAGGCAGTGTGTCGTTCTTTTCATGCTCAATCGTAAATTTGATCTTTGCATGTGCTTTGTTCAGGGCCTTGAGTAGTAGTTCTCTGTCGCCCGGGCTTTTGACTATGACGAAAACGTCATTCACACATCGCCTATAGAATGAGGCTCGTTGTAAGTTCTGGGCTAGTTGTCGCTCGAGATTAGACATGAAAATACTCCCTAGGATTGGCCCCAATGGACTGCCCATAGCTACACCGTCGATCTGTCGATACAGCCACCCGTTAGACAAGAACTGTTCATTCTTTGTGCATATCTGTAGTAGTTCCCGCAGTCGCTTTGGTGACTGGTGTGTTTCACCCGTATGCTCAAAATTATGTCGATTGTTTCATCCAGTGGCACATTTGTAAACAGGCTCTGCACGCCAGGCGAGATCGTGTGCTTATTCAGTAAATTCTGATTCTTTAGCTCATCTGCGAAGGTGACAGTATCTTCAGTAGTGCAAACGGCAAGGTTGTGTCTGATTGGTTCGATATGTTGGAATAACCATTGGGCAAGTTTATATTGAGGCGAATTCCTCATTGATAAAATTGGTCGTAATGGTACCCCTGGTTTGTGCAATTTTGGCAGTCCATATAGTACGGGAATATGCGAACCTACAGGCCTAAGACACGCAGCCATGTTTTCGTCTATTATTTGCTTTTCAAGTAACTATTTTACCTTTTTCCCAATAAGGTTTTCTATTGTTCTTGTTTCTTCCTCCTCGTGGGTTTCCGAGGAAAATTTTCCGGAGTCACCCGCTATCGCTTCCATCTTTCTCACATAGTCAGTCTTGTTTAGGATCACGACACCGCTTCCTTCGTCAGATCTTGGGATGATGACTTTAGCAGTCCTACGAAGGTCAGTTAGGGCCGAGAGTTGTTGTCTAGTTAGTAGTGAGCGTTGCGTAGTCGGAAAAGTTCGGTATCCTATGAAGACTTACTTCAACTGCATAATGAATAAGTTTGCTATCAGTTTTCCCCAGTATTGGCTGAAATAGAGTAGAGCGACACAAGAATCCAGACTGCACCTTAATGAAGGACCTCTTACTTAGTCCGTACGCCATTCTGGAAATGCAAGCGAAGGCGGTATGTTTGAGTCATAGCAGATAGAAGTAGAATGAGAAATGGAATACGGTTAGCTTCATAAAAGGGGAACCGGGATAACACGAAAAACGTGATACAGCACTCTTTCAGTCCCAACCTGAGCTAAGCAACCTACTAATGAAACTTCGAGAACTTGAAACCAGCTTTTTATGATGTATACGTGACGATGGATATCATTAGGCAGCCGAATTCCTTGAATTTACTGCATGCAACAATATAAAATAGACGAAACACGTGTTTGAGTTTTTAGCTTACACTGCCTGTAAACAAAATGTGAACATGATACAGAAATTCCACTGACACTGATCGATTTGAACTCAATCATACATACTAGCCTTCAAATCAAATCGGGGAAAGTTTACGACTAAGAATTTTTAACAAGGTCGCCCAATAATTTCGGAGGAAATTAATGATCCAAGGCAGCGTGCATCCTGAACAGAAGTAACGCAGAGGTGGCATTTTCTGGAGAAATCGAGTTTTTCTCGGGACTTTTCAAGCTGGCGATGTCAGCAGGTCATCAAAGATGAGGCACAGTAAGAGGCGATCTATTCACACTAGAGCATTTGTGAATCTAGTGCTTACATTAGGCAGACAGATGTGCGCTTGTGGTACATCTTCGTACCAACTGCAACACCCGGACTACACCAGTTGCTGTCTTCTCACTCAACTCTGCCGACAACTAAAACTGACCGCACTCACGAACCCCCACCACCACTCTCCTTCTCCACTGGCTCAACATCCGATACGGCGGCTCCTGTACCCACCGCCACTGCACACAACCCTGACACACCAACAAGCATTAACTACCCCACCGTCAACGCCAGCGATGCGGTCTCGGTTCATACATGTTCTCATTGCAACCGCACCTTCACCTCACACATCGGCCTGATCGGTCACTTGCGAATCTATCGCACAGAGACTGGCAAACCAGTGCCTGGAGCACCAACATACACCAGACGCATTCACCTCCACTATCCACACTACCCTCGCACATTTAATCGCCGCCTGAGCCTATCGGGTCACATACGTATCAACGAGAGCGGAACTGACCGCAGTCTCGACGCACCTAGTACCTCCTGCACATCCACTATGCCTTGCTCAACCCCCACCCCGCCGCCCAGCACGCCCGCCACCACCAGCTCAACCACACTCGACACATCCTACGCACCCACCATGCCTAACCCAACGCACGCATCGTCGCCCAGCTTGTCCACCCTCAACAGTTCCACCACCGCAACTATCTCCGAAACCGACACTGACACTGCCGACTCTTCCTCCCACACTGTCCCCGTACATTCACCTCACACATCGGCCTGGTCGGTTACTTGCTAATCCATTGCAGGGGGACTGGCGAACCGGTGCCTGGGACACCCATATGCACTCGCCGCATCCGCCTTAACTGCCCTCACTGCACCCGCACACTCACCCACCGCATAGGCCTATTAGGCTACATGCGCATTCAAGAAAACCTGCGGCAGACGACTGCCGGTTAAACCATACCATCACATCTTCCTCCACCGACATCACATAACATCATCACCCACTACCAGCATCCAATCGCCGCCTCCCACGCAAGTGGGAAAAGCGCGTCTCGGCTCCGTCTCCATGCGGCTACTCTGCTGCATGTGTTATTCGAGTCTGAGACTATCACTTTGCGCCAAGAACCGTGGTCTCGAAGGCCGCTGTCCAACGCTCCAACTCAGTCCACGATGTCAACCTAATTGTGTTTTTGTGTGAGTGTCGGACTGGTTTGCTGAAAAAACAGGCTGAAACGGTCCCTTCTTAGCGTGACCTACGGCCCTTTCACGCATGTGAGATGTACGCTGCTCAGCCCCCGTTGTGTGAAATCCGAGTGCTTATGTTTGGGGGGTCAGGTCATGCGTGTGGCCCGCGCAGACAGGGTCATTAGACATGTCAGCCACCGCGCCCATTCTCCACACCTGTCAACTGACCGGCTCGAACAGTGTCTGGGGCCTGGGAATGGGAAGGGCGAGTGAGGTCGACGATTCAGAGCATTTTCCTCTCTATCAACAATCTGACGCGCTTGAAGCTATCACGGTGCGCAAAAAACCGGGCTTGGAAGGTCGCCAATTGACGGGATAACTCGGACCTTGCAGTCGGCCCAGTGTTGTGTGTCTGTGTGGAGCGCCGACTGGTGGCCTAAGAGGCAGTCTGCAATGGCTCCTTCTTAGTGTGGCCTTGATGGTATGCCCACTCCGTGGGATCCGAGCCAGGTGTGACAGCACGCCTAGGTGCGGCCTCGGAGCGCCAGCCCCTTTTGTTGTTGGTTAAAATATTGGTCATTTGCTATGTGGACCAGGGGGTACGGAGCAGAGCACCAAGGTGCGGGCTTGACCGTGCTATCCACCGGTACCCTCCCCCGCCTCCGGTCTTCTTGACTCTTTCTTGACACCGGCTTCAGGTGAGGGAGGAGGAGGAGGAGGAGGAGGGAGTGCGGTAGATTCATTGCAAGTCTACTGCCATTATAAAAGCAATCACGCGCAAGTCGCCGTGCCTACTTCACTCTGCTGTGTAGCACACGGTGGACATCGCCGGCAACGATGGTCGAACTGTCGATAGTAGCTACAAGAAGTGCTAAAGGCTTGCTACGGCCTGCCGCATCAGAAAGGGACAATGGCTTATCACTGAGACATTTTCCAGTCCTGATATGGGTTAACCATTGGTGTTTTTTGGTGTGAGTGGAGGGTTAATGAACCACGCAGTCACACCTAGGCAATGAGCCTCCAGATTGACATGGCGGTTGATGAGGCTTCTATAAGGGCACCAAGCCTCAAGGAATTGTCGTGCCGAGTTTTTATCGACCATGATGATCATTTTGGCGCCATCTGAAATGAATCGGCGATGACATTTAAGTGCGTGCGCAAAACCAGGAGACAAACAGGTCATATCAACTAGCTTGCGTTCATTTATTCATGTCAAGTAAAAGCTCAGGGACGAGCACCGCCCGACTACTGCTCTCAAGGGATGGGATCTTTCACTTGAGATAACGCTACGCACAAAATGATGTCGGGATGTGGGGGATGGTAACACCAAACTGCTTTATTTGCCGGAGGATCGTCTGTGCGTGTTGGGCAGAGATTAAAATTCCCGCTTCCATATCTTCGAAAATTGTCACTGACGTGACGAATCGTTCTTTACGTTCAGAATGCGCCTGAAATCATTGAAAGACGCCCAGAGGAAACATCAACTACAAGTGACGAATAAACTGACGACTGTAAAATGCGTCCATTTTTGTCGTCCTAAGGATGAGGTTAGCTTTTTGGATACGAGTGAGATCGCCCGCAAATTCCACTGTGTTACCTGTAATTCAGGACATTCTGGTCAACCTGGAAGTACGGTCTTTCCGCACATGCATAAGTCTCAGTTGGCAACAGAGTCGGCAGCACCTGACTGAAGCAGACAAGTATACAGTCGGTACTGCATGCGCTTTTGTTTGGGACAGAACTCGTACGGTTGACACCAACTGATTCAACAGAAACCGAGGATTCCTCGAAGTCATTCACTTTGCTGAATCATGCATCGGTTTGGGTGTTGCGTAAAAACGTCCCAAAAGGGGGTACTTTAGCGCGGAGAGACATGAAGTCTGCGAATTGAAGGGGTTACACTAATTCTCACATGTCATTGCTAAAGCCCGAACCACGTACGCACAGAGCTATGTTACAGGAACTTGCTTGTAGATGCTACTACGATAACTTCCAAAATTATCAAATTGGTCTACTAAGGCGCAAGACCACAATTCAAACACGAACAAGAAAAAATTTCTTGTGCCCGAACACACCGTGAACGTTAGGGAGAAAATCAATAATGAGTGGTCAGAGCAATAGGCTGAAAACCCAACAGAGTCAAGAAGGGGCTTTCTCGAGACTCTTCGGGGAGACAAGAATACATTTTGACAGGTATCCTGACCCACCGATGTATCGCATGGGTTTCAAGGACCGCAGTACAAGTCACGAACATTAACTACGACTTTAAACCGGTCTCGCCGCTGACATATGCCAGGACGAGGGGCGCTTATGCCGCGCAATATTTACTCACAGCAAGGTATGTCCATATAATCGTGACGCTTTACAATTTGTGGCTTAAGGGGTTATCAATCGCGCGATAAATTGCAGATTAAGGCGACCTTTCATGCTGCGGTAAACCCCTCTAATTGGGCTCTAACGGAAGCAGAATAGATACGGATAATCGAAGATATGATGCATGGTTCTGTCGATGTTAGTGTCCGGTATACGCTTAGTAAGAGGGTGTTAAGGGTGGGAGGTCTGAGCATTCATTGGTTAGTCTTTTCTCCATTCGCCTTGAGTTGAGCTTAATAACAGGTCACGATAAAAACAGATGTAATGTGATAACACTGCGGAGGAAATCGTAGTTGAATTTAGAATCGCGCGCAGTTAAATGCTGTCTCCAGCGTAGTGCTGTCGTTTGTCAGGCATGATTTACAAACTGGTGGGTGTTCGGCTAGTCAGTACTGACAGTGGAGGACGCTGTCGCTCCAGGTGCACGATGTTCGATTTAATGGAGAGATAGGACTTGATGCGGTCTGTGACTCATCGATGGAAGTCAAATAACCTGGCTGGCTACTGTGTTAAATCCAACCGAGACGTCCTTGCTCCGTCTTATAATTTGTATCTAGCCCGGTGTGTCTTGGCAGCAGAGAGCAGGGATGCTGCTATGCTATTTTTCCGATTAAGACGCGCCCTCACATCGGCACTGAGGATTGTATTCATCGAGGGTTCCCACCTACGTGCCGTAGGCGCTGCGAAATCTCTTGGCTCCAAAAGCAGATAGTCGGCTGTCCTAAAGTGCAAATTGTGAAACTGGATGCCACAGTTATTCGCGCATCCGCTCTCCTCCCCTTCACCCCATCTTTGCCTACCACGTGGAAAGAGATACAACTTCCCTGATCACAGCACGCGTCGGATTTCACAGTCAAGAAGTGAACAGCAGTGCGCGATGGTCGGCATGCTGTTTTTGCGTGCGTGCGCACACGCCTCCGCGTGCACGCACGCACGCGCGCACACAATGATCGATAATTGCGCACGCGGAGGTTCGTGCGTGCATGCGCGCGCTTGTGGAAAACACCAGTCAAGGTCATGAAATCAGGCTTAGTGTCACAACTACCCTGTGAGTGCCAAGGCATCCAGCTTCGCAACAGTAGAACCCGGTCAGCCTTCCCGTCGTTTGACATTGACGTTAAGGAGACCTCTCTCTCTCTCTCTCTCTCTCTCTCTCTCTCTCTCTCTCTCTCTCTCTCTCTCTCTCTCTCTCTCTCTCTCTCTCAATTTTATCCGTTAGAAAGCGAGAGATCTCACTGTCAAACAATCGCCTAGTCTTACACTCATAAGCGGTTTCAAAAGGAATAACTGTGGTATGGGCTCTGAAACACTATAAGAATTTAAAGGAAAGGCAACGATAGGGCGAAGAACCCCACTTTACTGTCGGAAGACTGGATGGTGTCATACGGAAATAGTGGTAATGATGGTTTTACCGATAAGGCAGCACGTCAGACAGTAAGCCTACAAAGTGCGAGAAAAGACAGGATATGCTTCCATTTCCCCCGAAAGTCCTATCATACTCTTTCGTATGGCAACGAAAATTAGCACGTTAATTAAAATGTACACGAGAGGAAAATCTCAAAAAATGACAGATTTTGAGTAGTGGTCTGAGGCCATGGGAAGCAGTTTTTGGGCAGTACGTTTACAACGGTTTGCAAAAGGATACCAAGATAAGACCCCATATAACACGATCCACAGTCTACCAGGAGTTAAGTGGAGTCATTTACCACGCCGTATTCACACCAACTTCAAGCATGAATGCCTAGTGATCTTGTAAACACCAATTTGTAAACAAGTCAGTGAATTAGGAACGGTATGGGACAGTAGACACAGGGTAAAACACGTCTGGCCTTTACCCACCCTAAACGCAGGGGGTAAGAGACAATCTGCATGCTAATTTATTCTCTTCGCGGCTCTTATTGGGCCCTCCCTATAACATACTGTAATAAATACTAGATAATCCAGACCTTCCCTGAAGGCGGCCCTAATGATTTAAAAATACCTAACGAGTGACTTCACCGAAAATTGTTTGCGACTGCCTTTATGTCACCGGCACGTTAGATATGGTAAATATCCCTGAAAGAAGTCTTTTCGAAACCACAGCTTCGCGAATGTTTTCACGCTTGCTTGCATCCATTAAATATGCTAATGAGCGAAAAGTGGAGCTGGTAGACGTGTTTGAACATGTAAAATGTACACAGGTAGCTTAAACAACGTTTAGCAAGTTAATTCCTAAAATGCAAACGACAGAAGTCGCGCACCGAAGCTCATGAAGCACTGACTGACATCGTAAATATGCTCTAAGGGCGAAAAATGCCCTTCAGTGAGGCCACGAAAGACAACTGAAAATCCCCTTGCGCAAGCCTAAATGTCATCTTACGTATTTTTAAAATCCATATAAAATGTCATTCCTCCAATTAGTTTTCAAAGTAGTGAGCATATTTTTATTTGTATTCAATTTTTATGCAAATTTTAATCAAATGTCTAGGAGTACGGTACGAAATCCCGATTTGCTGCACTCCCTTTCTTGGAAATTACATCCCATTCAAAGTCCATACTTGAAAAAAACGGTTTTTACTCACGAGAATCTCGTAATTATGTTTATCGTTTGGGAAGCGCGGGGATCCTCCGTTTAACCTAACCTCATAAAATGCTAATCAGAATTCAGAAATAGACTACTTTAGTAGAGTTGCGATATCGGTTAGTGTGCCGTATGATCCACAACTATTTCAGTCGCACTAGGAAGCTGACATCTGAATGCACTTCTTTTCTATCTTCTAAAAACGACCTTCGAAATAAATGACTACATATGCAGTGTAAATTCTGTCTTGTTATTTTAACTGTCCTTGCAAAATCGACTATATTTTATAGAAACATAATCAAAAATATCCGTTCTTGAGCTAGTTTGCTATTAAATCATGTTTTCGTCAAATTGCATTCTCAAATAAAGTGTGTTTTTGGTTTAACATTTTTTATCACAAGAGTTTTAAGATCGTAAAGGTCCATTTAAATAACATCATTTGTCCGTTCATTAGTGCATTTTGTGAAGTATACAACACAGTCCGCACCCACTACAAAATTTTTCGAATCTATTATGCCATCCTGTAGATGAAATAGAGTAAAGTGTTTTTTACATGACAGGAATATAACTTGTCCAAGAATGCAACTGCGGATCGGACTAAAAATTATCTGGGAAGTGAAAAACGTTTAAAACTTATATATGCACTTTTTTCGAATATGAAATTAACGGAAACGGATTCGTTACCAAATGAATATGAAAAATTATGCTTTGATCACGCCTTTTTCAAACTATATTTGAATCTACAGGGGCATCAAGAGTCAGTGAAAAAAGCGTACTAAACGAGTACTATTTTCCACTGAGTCCAGTGATTGCAGACGGCCAAAAAGATGTGTATTTGAAAAACGGTATCACGAGGGGACTGAACCACCCTGTGACCATGCTGGGTGATGATCACTTTTACAAGCTCATGTAAAGAATCTTCCTTACTCACACCATGAAAGTGCTTATTGCAGCAAGTCTATTAGCGTGAAGTGCGCTTATAAATGAGTGAATGATCCACCGTGAAACACGTTCTACTTGAGGAGTAATCCTTTGCCAGTGTGATTTTCGTAATGGTGCGGAATTTGCCCGATTGAAAGAGCATTCCGTCTCGTGCGAATTAAATGGCAATAGTATTCTACACTAAGCGGTACTGCAGAGCCCCTTTCAAAACAACATTCGACTTTTTCGCCACGCGTCGTATTTTGCGCCACAAAGATTCAGGGCTTGCTGTTTTCTCCCACTTGGTGAGGGCGTAGGTCTCATGCATTCCTCGCAATGCGTTAAACAAAAACAAAAGTCCGCCAAAATCCCTGAACTCCGATTATAAACAAAGGTCCCTTGTAGGCACTTTTACATCGCTTGAAGAAAGCATAACATTTAAATATTTCGGAATGCTGGAATGTATTGTCTTTATTTTTTGGTAGGAAACAAAAAGAAACTGATAGCGCAATCATTTTCACGTAGTTCAATAAACCCACAAGACCATTATGCACCATATCTCGAAATAAACCTTAAAATTTCTAAGAAAGAGGAATTTTGAAATATCCCGCTAAATGCCTCGAACTATTTGTAGCATAAATATAGAATCATTCAGTTTAGAGAAATGTGGAATAAAATTGTTTTTCATTTACGGTCTACACACTTAGTCGCTACCTGCGCTTAAATTGTCTGCATTCAATATACACTCTATTAGCCCGCAGGCGACAATCTGAATTGAAGGCATCAGGTGAGATATATCGTCTTCCAGTCCCATTGTCCAACTTCCGTCATACCTAAAGCCATTTTCTGGAGGAAATTTATAGACTCAGAGCATCAGGAGGAGCCTTATAGTGGACTTACTAAAGGGACCGTTTTGGGTCGTTTGGTCATTTATCTGGGTCAATTTTATTCCCAGTACACAACACGTGTAAGGATACTTCTGGCCGGAAGTTCGAACAGGTCGCTCCTAACGAACGCCAATTATCACAAGACGAATTTCTTCTCCCGAGCTAGACTCCAATTGCCCACGCTTTATCTCCACTCGATTCAGAACGGCGTTTCATGCTTCTTACTTTGCCCAAACGTCGGCTTACTGGCCTTCATGTTTGCACGCATGATACCATGTCTAGCAACGGGTGCCAGTACTGGTCATACGTTCGGCCAAAGAATAAAAGTTGGCCCGGCATCTGATTGGATGACAAAGATCGAGCAAAATGCGGGTCCTCGGCTAAACTCACGAAGAGGCCGAGAGCCTGACTCACCTTTCCTTAAATGCTAGCATTTCGCCAAAACACTGCATCAGCCCCCATCTAGGTGTGACACGTCTAATATTCCCCATTCGTACTCGTCCTTATTTGAAGTGAAGTTCAGCAAATGCACTAAAACATAAGGCCCTAATTCTGCAGTCTGTCGCAATTCTAATAGGCTCTCCTTTCCAGACACAAGGGTAGCGTCAAAAGATAAAAAAGGGGTTTGTTCATAAATTACAGAACAGGTATAGAAACTGCAATAAAAACAAACTGGTGTTCTTCCATTCCTTAGTTGCATGCAACTCCAACAGAAGTGGGGTGGAGGATGTAAACCGCGATGATTAAAGAGACCAGGACGTTGAAATATAAGTACCTTAAAGTTGAAAATAATGTTCTTCAGGAGAGACAAAAAGGTGGAACCAGTAAAGGCAGAAAAACCCCGAGGAGCCACTGCAGCAAGACGAAAGGTGCTGCTTTTATGTCCTTGTGTTCGCCCACCCCAAATTATCCGGACGGATATAAAAAGAGGCAGCAAGGTTCTAATCCAAATTTAGACGCTGCCATTGTCACAATGAAACATTCCTTTTGGCACTGCCCAAACAGTCCGTCCTCCCATGACGGCATCTACGTGCTCAGAACGATTGTTCTCTCGGTGGGTCTTTTGGCCAGCATCTGCACCCTCGCCCTACTCTGTCTTCTTTCCGGTCGTACACGCACTACCCTCACCATGCTCCGTGCTCTCATGTTCTCGGGTGCTGTGTGCAACTTTCTGGAGCTCTGTAACCAACAGCAGGCTGTCATCCTGCCGCCCTCTACTAACAACCTTTTGGGGGCGAGCGTATGCGCTGTTTGGCTAAGCGGCTTCTTGAATTCAGCCCTCCACCTCTTTGAGTCACTCGTACTTGTCTACATGGTGGGTAACAGGGCCATTCAGATCGCCTTTAAGTACCAGTACTCCTTCCCCACTTCTGCCTGCGTGGATGTGGTCTGCGCCGGCATCACGGGTCTGGCTTGCTTCCTCTTTGCCCTGCCACAGTGTTTTACAGTTGCCTGGCAGGAGGGGCACTGCAAATGCCTCGAGAAGGATCTGTCGTACTGGCTCATGACAGTCATTTACGCCGCGAGCTTTGTTAGGCAGGCAGTGGACACCCTCCTCAGCGCCACAGCGTTGGGTATTTCGAACGTTAAAATCCTGCTCTGGGTGCGCAATACACCACCGGAGAAGCTGGTGGACACACTAAATAGTCTTACTTTTTCAAACACGCCGAATGCCCTAAGAAAGGAATTCGACCGACCACAGGGTTGGTGGACAGCATCCATGTGCATGGTGGCTTTGTCGATCAACTTCCTCCTCTTAACTGTCGGTAGCAGTGTGCAGAGACTGCTTTGTGCGGCAGGGGTGTTTCTACTGGAGGCCAACAGTTATGCGACTAGGGTGGGCGATCTACTTCGGAGTTTGCATCGAACCACTGCTCCGTTCATCGTTGTGATTTATATACCGGCTTTGCGCCGTCTGATAAAGGATCTCTACTGGAGTGTGGTGGCAAGTTTCAGGCTCCGAGTGAGGAAGATTCCAACATTAACAGCTGGCCAGATTGAAGTCGCACAGTGACATTCCCAGCGAATTATAAAACGGACTTTCTGGTTAGCAATCAGGATTTTACTGTTCCCCTCATATAAAGTTAATAAAAGTCCCGTAAGCGGTATTATTTTGTCCATAGATTTAATCCACATTTTGAGTTGTGAGACGATAGCGCACCTGTGTGCATTTAATAAGAGGCAGTAAGTAAGAACAACAAACAAGACTGCTACATTCGGTAGCCTGGAGGTGTTGGCGAATAAAAAAGTCGCCAAGACTGCCTGTGCATCATGAAATTAAGTACACCGAAAAGGCTGCGGCTGGGCGAAATTAAAGCCGGAAAATCCTTGTTCAGAATTCTCTTTTTATTGAACTCGTTAAGGCCTACTTTGCACTTGACCCAGAAAGTGGCCTGACACACTGAACGGTTAAGGTACCTTTTGTCCAACTATTCTCCGATGTTAGAACCCTAAGAAAATAAAGGATTCGTTACACATTCACATATATAATATCAGTTAAACGATCGGTTAAAAGTAATTTACGCATACTTTGTAAAATTCTCTAGCAAAAAAGTCTGAGCTAAAGCAGAATGTCTGCGAATAGTATATCTTTGCTGAAAACTGCTAATGCAGAGGATGTGGAACATAAATATCCTTGACAGTTTTAAGCATTTGAAACCTATACCTGCGATGCGTTCCATCTGTTTTTTTTCGCGCAGTTCGCAGCATTTTTTTCTCAATTACGTGAAAAAAACTTTAAAACGAGCCTTTTGCGTAGTAGTCATTGCTATTAATTCAAAATTGGAGCGCCAATACTATTTACTACGCGAGGGTGGTGGGCTCCCACCTGTTCAGACTACAGGAGGCCAAACAGAAAGTTCCGTTGCGCTTTTGAAGACCGCGTCTGTTAATCATTTGGGCGGTCGCATAGTTACTAGCAATCAGTAGTTATGATATTATGCCAGCAATTACAAGCAACACTAAAATGGCTATCTGACGAAATTAGGCGCGGACGTTTTGAAGAGCTTGGTCGGCTCCCCATTGTCAAAGCGTAAAGGGCTTTGTGAGTCACCGCTTCGTCAGGGGAGGTGATTGAGCTTTCGTCAGGTGATCGGTCTGGTGGTTCTTCTTCCTCGCCGAGTAGACTCGCCGTCGACCTGTCTATGTATGGCCTTCCTAGGTCCAGTATGATTACTTGGTCCTGAGCTCTACAGACGGGATGACGTCGGACTTTGTAGGCTGCAGGAAGGTCCAGACGCCTGTCGATGGAGTTGCCATCGGAATACCAAGCCTCGAGTTTTAGCCGTTCTGTTTTCGTGTTGTCCCGGCCTAAGATGGAAGCTCTCTGGAGATCGAAAGTATGCCCAGTTTATCCGACGGGCGTTGTTAGTTGGAAGTTTTGAATCCAGCCTCCGAATCGCCGACTTGTGCTCTTGCAGGTGGATCTGCAAGTTCCGCCCGGTTTCCCCAAAATAGCTGCAGTCGCACTCATGGAAATTTATTTGTAGATAACTCTTGAGATTTCAGCAGGTGGTAGTGTGTCCTTAGGTTGTATCAGACGGCAACGCAGTGTTGCCTGGGGTCGATGGGCTATGCCTACCCTGGCTATTTCTAACATATTTGGCGTCATCAGCCAGCGATATCCCAAACACAAGTATCAGTACTCCCGAAGTTTGACTCCAAAGCTACCTGGGTTATCCTTTATCCTGTATAGCCAGCAAGATTGGCGTTCGTCTATCTACCCTATCAGGAGACTAGAAATAAGCGTCTTCATTTGGAACTGAAGCTCCGAGGGCTCAAGTGTCAGGAGAGTTTGACCTAAATTATCAATGATCCAAGCTGGTATTTGCATGTCGAAGAGTATCGCAACTTTTCTCGGTTCGTATAGAGCCAATTTCCACTAGTCGGTAGCTATTGTTTTCAAATACTGCAATAATTCTCAGTACTATACCCAGATGAATGACCCGTACTTTTATGGAAAAGATTCCGCATCACCGTCAGTTGGAGCTTGAGCTTTCTTTGAGACACAACGAGACAGTCTTGTTCCAATAACATACGCCCATGGCTGTTTTGTTTTGGAGTTGCGAAAATTCCCATTGCAAAATTCAAAATACAATCTGGCGAGCATACGTAAGCTTTCGATAAGTTCTCATCAGGCCTATGCATTTATTTTGCTATCAAAGTGATTAAAAAGAAAATGCGAGCAAACAGAAGTTTTTCTGTAACTGGGGTTTGGGGGGAGGGTCTGGGTGGGTGAGGTGAAAAAACGTAATTACCGTCAGTGCCAGGGGGAGAAGGGAATGGCGGGCACTGGGACGGGTAATTACATGCGGGTGGCTGGCTTGGTGGCTTTGGACCATGGTAACTGTGGGACCTGCATGAAGTTATTTTTGTGTGCATAGAACTGGTTCGTATAGCCTTATTGCAGCCGCCTCTGCTGTTGCCAACAGACGCTGTCCAAGTAGTTTTGGATAGCTTGACGGGACCCTGTAAATCATTCGGAATGCCTGGCCGGCATCTACACAGGGATCTGTGTCTACCATATGGGCGAGGATAGAGCTGTTGACGTTCTTTATTTGGCCCTTTTCTAACCATCCTGGAAGGTGTTATCTTATTCTTTTGGACAAACGCCGGCTCGTGCGACCAATATATTCTGCCCACAGGAGCAGGTGAAAGAGTAAATGCACATGGAAGTGGCCTGGGCTGGGAGTTTATCCTTGCCCTCTCTGCGTAGGATGGGATTAGTGGAGAAGAGTACACGGACGTCAGTTGCTGGAAAGGTGCGTGACACAGCTTGAGTTAGGCGTCATCTTAGAACTTCGCTTGGCGTGTCCACTTGAAATGGAACACTGATGAAAAGCTTCTTCTTTTCTGCTGTCAGCATCAGGAGTTTTGGTGGTCCTTCGGTCATGTACTTGGCAATGGATCGATCGGGGTTCCCGTTCTGGCGAAAGAGATTTTCGACAATCTTATGTTCTTCCTTAATGTCATCAGCCGAGCAGATATTCCTTACTCTTTGTGTTAGATAACGGACTAAATTGCGCTTCATGTTTAGCGGTACGAAACTCCCAAATTTGGTGTATTGCCCTGACCACGTCTTCTTAAGGTAGACGCTACGTCGAATACTACCGTCAGGCGTTCTACTCAAAAGTACATACAGAAAGGGGAGCGATCCGGATTGCACTGATTCCAGAGTAAATTTAATTGATAGGTGCACCTGATTGACATCATTCAGTAGAACTGAAACACCGTTTTGCTCGGGTGCAGTAGCGAATATATCATCCACGTTTTGTTTTAATGCTTTAAAGGTACTCCCCCCGTTAAAAGGGATGTATCTTTAATTCTTTTTAAACAATACACGGTAGATAGGTGCGTAATCACAGGGCGGTAATTCTTGCCACGAATCGGGCTGATTAAGTATATGATTGCAAAATGTGCAGGTGTGCTTTACCAGGTTGGCAGGACGGAATATAGATTTATGGCATTAAAAAGACACCACTGACCCTCGTATCCACTGGTTTGGCTCACACCCACCTGATCGGATGAAGTCTTTGTAAATTACGACGACGCTGTGCATCCACTTTCTTTAAAATCGAACACAGAACACACAACTTCCAGGCTGATATTTATCTGCAGCAAACTTGGGCAGTTGGTATTAATAAAATATTTCTGACAAATCGGGAGAGAATTCGGTGTCTGCTTAAGGCCGGTCTTATTTCGAGCCTGAAGAAAAGACTTCATGTTACATTGCCCGACTTAGCGTCGACTGCTGGGTACCATTTAAAATCATATCAAATCCAGGTCCAAGAGGTCTGTAGTTCTCGCTACGTACAAAATTATTCCCCCCGTTTGACTGTAGAAAGTGTTCATTCAGCATTCTCGGGTTTTCCCAAAAATCTTTTTTTAATAGTTTTGGTCGAATTCTGAATTGACAGATGGTTGCATACAGTCCTGTTCTACAAAGTCTGGGGGGCAAGAAGGTGGTACGAAAACGATGGGAATCAACTGAGTAACGACTGATGCAGCCAATCAGCGTACAGAGAGCAGTCGCAAGGATTGGCATGTCATCCAGATGCAGAGGTCTATATAGCGTAAGCTTCAAAGGACCTTAAGGACAGTTAAAAAGGCACGCAACAGAGGCTATGCAGTACTTGTGAATGGTCGGAAACACGTAGATGTAGAATGATTTTACGGCAAAAATCCCCAGCAGGTGCGTCCTAGGCTGTCCATGACTCCTTTTATCAGGCACGGTAGTTCGGTTTGACTGGAAAATTACAGGAATCACTTAATGACAGTTTCTCCTGTGTGCTTGTGTAGTGTACGGAAACATCCCCTCCCAAAAGCATTGTCCAAGATGTGTGTGGATTTCTACGTTGGTAACTTGCGCTGGAACATCGTTTCGGCAATAAAATGGGGTATTCGGATGAAACTAGCCTTCCTTTACATAAAAGTTGCTGCAAGCGTTTCAATTTCTTCGACTATGGGCACGTGTTTTTATTCTTCATTATGCGACAAGCGTACCTAACGTCAAATGAATTCTCGTCGAAATTACTACTGCTATTGTAGAGACATCCGAAGGCAGTGACGGTAAGAGGGTTGCAATCAGCCTATAGCGAACATTTCCCTATAAACTGTTAAGCTGTAGCGGGCAGCCATCATGACCGGTCTGGCGTCATTATTCAGATCTCGCTGCCTCAAGGTCATTCACCCTTTGCAGTGAGCAGTTCCAGACGCGCCGCCCTGCAGTCACACGACCGACAACTCGGGCACACCCGCGACCGCACAGCCGCAGTTGCCCATGCGGCCACTTGAAGGCACCTCTCCCTGCAACCACAACCTAAGCCACTGGGACACCACCCCTCGGCAAATGAAACACACACCGACTGGACACCACTTGAGCTTGGCCTGTGAGCCGTCAAAAGCGGCTGCCACGACTATCTCAGGGACTCTCAGGCATGACTGGACGCAGTCAACACTAGCCCTGGCTTCGCCTGTGGCCGCTGCCACCTGAGAGAGGTCAACCCCGGGTGCTGT